GGCCGGGACAACCGCCGCCGCCGCCGCCGCTGCCGCCGCCTCCTTCCCGACTTCTCGTGAGGGGAACCGACGAGAGCGGGGGACGGCAAGAGGAGGCCCGCCCCGGGCGGCCGGAGGCCAAGTGTCGGTGCGCGCCCCCTGCTGGCCAGGAGGAGTCACTGCGCCGCGCCGAGGCCGAGGCCGGGGCCCGGCGGGGCCGAGGGGGGCACGCACAATAAATAATACAGTATTTATTGAGTGCCTGTCTGTGCCAAGCGCTTCGCCTGGGTTGCCTTCCTGACCATTGCTTTGGGGATCATTCTAAATGCTTCGCTGTGCCCTAAACACGCTCCGTAAGCTCGCTCAGCTGTCATCTTCCACCTCCTCGTTGATTCAGCCACCCCCGATTTCCATCCCCTTTCGGATTCCTGCCCCTGCATGCTTTCTCAGCCTCGCCGTGCTTCACCTGCGGGACCAGCCACCACTTGGGTACGGGGCTGTCCTGTAGCGTATTAGGCAGCTATCCCTGGCCTCCACCCCCTAGATGCCATAGTGACCCCTTCTGCCAGCTGTAAGTGCCTCAGGCCCCAGCGACAATGTTGCCATATGTGCAGGGAGGTTCGGGGCGTGAAAACCACAGCTGCACGTTGAGGCGGGGACTATTAATGGCAGCTAATGTCCCCTGGGTCACAGGGGGTGCAGTTTCACCCCTCCAAACCGTCTGGGTCTGCTTGTTCCTGCTGCAGTTCACCGGGCTGAAAGTCGCCCTTCCTCGCATTGCTGTGCCAGCGCGGGGCGTGGAGGGGCACACCTGTCCTCCGCGCCCTGGGGGGCTGGGGCAGCAGGGTGACCAGTGTGGTGGATGAGCTAATGGGCCACTCGTCTCGTCCAGCTGAGCTGAGCGTGGCTCTGGGCGTGGAGGGCCCACCTGAGGACTGCTGCCAACAGCATAAAAAGAGAACTGGAGGGGAAGATGGTGCGCTGTTGATTTTCCCGGAGAAGCTTGTCGCGCTGGCTTTCCTGATAGGAACTCAGCTGTTCTCATCGGAGGAGCTCGGGACTTTTGCTGTCGCTGAGGATGGCTGCAGTTCTTTTCCGGGGAACTCTGGTCATTACCTGAAGCGTCGCTTCCTGGCTCCGGGGGAGATCCCTCAGCCTGCTGGCACAGATCCTTCTTCCCGAGGGCACAGACTTTCTAGCTTCAACCACTGACCTTTGGGCCTTCTCAGCGCAGATACTTGGTTCAGACTTCCATGAGACTATCGTGGGCTCTAGGCCTGTAGTTGGACTCGTGGAGGACATTGCCATGGGCTCTAGGTCTTCAGCTGGACTCATGCACCACATTGCTGTTGGATCCAGGCCCTCGGCTGGATCCTTTGGATCTCTAGTGTGTGGACAGATTGCCTGCACTCTTCTGCATTTGACTCTTTGGAGGAATATTGTAAGATAATCCTGTAAATTATGTGTCCTGTACTGAATCCTTCCTCTTGTAAACCCTGACTACAACAGGAAATTTAAGCCCAGACTGGGCAATTTAGCAACTTAGTGAGACCCCCCATCTCAAAAGATAAAACAGGGCTGGGGATGTGACTCATGCAAGGGCCCTAGGTTCAATCCCCAGTTAAATCCACAAGAGTAGCTCGGTGCAAAGGTCCTGCCTTCAATCCCCTGTACAAACAGTAAGTAAACTGCTGTGCCAGCGTCTCTTCATGGCTCCAGCGTTTTGATATGCTGCCTCTTACTTTGTGTTCCCTGTGTGTGTCACAGGGCTCACCCTGGAAGCTGTCCACAGTTGGTGGCTTGTGTGTCTTCCTCCCGCTCCACCCATGCTGTGCCCGGAGCTTGATACCAGGTGCTCAGGATGCATGGAGGAAGAGCATGAACTTTCTTATCTGATGCTCATGACAACCAGAGGTAAGCATGATTGGCATGTCCATCTCACCAATCAGGAGGGTGAAGCACTGGGGGAGGGAGGGAGCTTGCCTGAGTATTCATACAGGGAAACAGAGGTTTTCACCCAGTCACTCCCTAGGACCCAGCTGTCTTTATCATGGCAAGAATCCCTTGCCAGCAGCATGTGAGAAACTGTCCCTGAACCTCATTTCTGGAAGGAATACAGGGAGACTCAGAGAGCTGGAGCTCCCAAGTCACTCAGCTTTTGAATGGGAAGCTATCACAGCAGAATCCCTAAGTGCCAACACCTGTATCCAGAGCTCCCAGGAAAGTGACGAGATAAATCAGCCCTCTGAGACTTCATGTTGACATAACACTATTAATAATAGTGCTTTCAAAAGAGAGGGACTGGTTGCTTGGCCAATGGATTTTAAAAAGTCTTGCCTTGCCAGGTGTGGTGGCACATGCCTGTAATCCCAGCACTGGGGAGGCTGAGGCAGGAGGATCGTTCCCAGTTCGAGACCAGCCTAGGCTACAAAGTGAGCTCAAGGCGAGCCTGCTGTGTAGTGAGACCCTATCTCAAAAAGACAAAAAAAAAAAAAGAAAATTCTTGCCCTTATGGAAAACCACAAGCAATCATGAGCATGTGGTACACTTTCAGCAACTGTCAGCTCAGGTCTAATCTTGCTTTACTAATGCCCTGACCCATCTGTCTAACCTCCATCCTATTATGTAGAAGCAAATCGTAGGTATCATCTCGTTCATCTGCAAATATTTCAGTTTGTGTCACTAAAAAAAAAAAAAAAAAAATTTCTTCTTTTTTACACTGAACTACGCAACACCATCAACACACCTAAAAAGTTAATAATATTTCCTAAAAGAACTTGGCAAATATCCTATACTGGTTGGCATTTATGTCATTGTTAGTTTAAAACATTTCGGGCCTGTTTGAATCCACACCGGACCACTGCAGTTTGACAATATGTCTCATAAAGTCTCTTTTTTTCTTCTCTGTGGGTTTCCCCTCCACCCCCTTTTTGCTTGCAATTCATTTAATTTTAGGAATCAGGCCCTTTTTGCCAGTAGAATTCCTCGTGGTCTGTGTCACTAAACATATTCCTCTGTCCTATTTCCTAAAAATTGGGAGTTGGATCTAGTTCACTTGTATCTAGTTCATCTTAGGGAGGGTATTTCATTCTCTTTCTCCATCAGGAGGCACATAATTGAGTGTTCTTTTTACGCTGTTATCAGGTATCCGTGACTAATGTCTAAATTCAGTCACTCGTTAAAGATTACAAGATAACAATCAAAGTTCTGTCGTTCCCAGTTCATTTTTAAGCAAAATATTTTTATAAGGAAAAAGCTTGTCTTGATCTACAGTTTGGCGTAATTCATATCAGAAAGACACATGTATCATTTCTTTGTTTATAAACCTTTAAGGCAGTATATTGGTTTTCGATCCCTTTCCAATGCTTTTCAGGTGTCGCTATCCAGTCTGCACTGGACACATTGATAGATGTCCTGGCTGCTTACACAGTCCCTTTGTTGGCCAGTGGGGACTGCTGACAGTGGGCCAGTGAGTTTTTTTGACAAGACAGTGACATGGAAGGTCAACTGGAGTTCTATTCTGGCAGGGCTCCGGGCTGTTCAAGAGATGTGGGCAGTGAAATGTCACAACCTGGAAGGTTCCAAATAGATCCGAGCTCCACTTTGGCTACAAAGAGGATGCCAGCAGTCTCTTACTCATTACCAACAACTGGGCTCACCCGAAGCCAGGGGCTGCCTTCTGTATTTGCGGTGCCCCCGTAGCATTTGTTTGTTCTCTGGTTATTCATCTCCCTACGCTCTCTCATCTGGCAAATCCCAAAACCAGAAGGCATGACTGTAGCACGTTCTGTAAACATCTGAATGTATGGTTGTTCTATTGGTGTCTTCTCGTTGTTCTGACAGTTGTTATCTCCAATCTATGGATCGATAGGACAATGAAGTTTAGCTGAAATCCAACTTTTTTTCCCCCAGGGAGAGGTGAAAGTTCTCTCACCTGCTGGATGTTGGCTTTTATACCATATATAATATCAAAGTAGTTTCCTACTTTTAAAAATCCGAGGAGACTTTGTTGCATATCAAGCAAGACTGTTTATTTCCATTTCCTTAACGTTCACAGATGCACAGAAGGAGGTATTATCCCCTGTTTTATGTAGGAGGAAACTGAATCACGGAACAGCTGGCTTGCCCCAGGCAAAGCGAGAAGTGAAGCCTGAAGCCAGGATTCAAACCCGACCTGGCTGCAGGGCCTCAGCCTTTGCTTCCAGTGACTGAGTCCCAACCCTGCAGTCCCTGGAGCTACAGAGCAGAGCTTAACTTGATGGATGCCAGCTCAGCCAGGCATGATGGTGCACACCAGCAATTTTAGCCCTCTGGGAAGCTGAGGAGGAGGAGGAGGAGCACAGGTTCAAGCCCAGCCTGGTCATCTTAGCAAGTTAGCAAGAGCCTGTCTCAAAATTAAAAAATAGGAAAAGGCTGGGATAGAACTCAGGG